GAGGCTCTTTGTAGGAAAGGTTAGAGCAGGGCTGGGGAGAGAGGGTGCCACCAGTCAGCATTCCCTATGGACCATCTGCATGGCAGAAAGCCAAGGATTCAAGAACTTGAAAATTGAACCTGCCTTTCCGTATCCTCATAAGGGTGCATTTACTCTGGTAAGGAGATAAAATATTTTTTAACCCAAAACCATGCTAACTTGACATATTACCTTCAGTTGTTTAAGCATGTGGTCTGTGCACCTCCATCCTAAAATGTTATGCATCTTGAGACACTGAGTTTGATGTCATAGTCCTGTAATCCCAGCTGAAGTCAGTGTGAGGAGGGGCCCCAAACACGCACACCTCTATTGCAGGGAAGAAATCCTGTGTGGTTTTACCTCAGCCACCTCCCTCCTCAAACTTCTGCTCTTCTTGCTTTCTTCTTCTTTTTTCTTTTTTAAATTTAATGTGTATGGTTGTTTTGCCTGCATGTATGTGTGTGCAGTACCCAAGGAGGCCAGAAGAGAGTGCTAGATCCCCTGGAACTGAAGTTACAGACAGTTGTTAGCTTCCATGTGGGTGCTGGGAATTGAACCCAGGTCCTCTGGAAGCGCTCGTAACCACGAGCCGTCTTTCAAGCCCTTTCCCCTCTTTCTTTAGTCCCATCAAGTTCTTCACCACACACACACCACGGATGAAATCATCTTGCAGAGCCAGTTTTGACCTGTCAGGATTGCATTTGAACAAAAATGAAGCCCAATTTCTGATAGCGTAAGAAGTGAGATGTCACCAGAACATGGATTTATCCTTGATCACACATGAGCTGACATTGAACTATATGGAACAGCACAGTCAGCTAAAAGATTATAGTTCCCATTCCCAGGCCAGACCAAGATAAGAGTCATGCCTGGCTGGATGTGGTTACTCACAACTATAATCCCAGCACGTGGGAGACTGAGGCAGGAGGATCTTCAATTTGAGGGTAACCTGGGCTACTTAGCAAAACCCTGTCTCACAAACAAACAAACAAACAAACAAACAAACAAAGACTACAACAAAAGAAGTCATTCCTAAACATGTCAGTGACGAGGACTTTGAGTGACATTCCCAGCCCAGCACAGTTTCGTTTGGGGTCTCCATTGGCAACACATTGCCGGTCCACTGTCTTCTACTGGCTTAATTACAGAGAGCCAGACGCCAGTGGCTTGCTGATGTTTCCACTGGCCCCACATCCCTCTCACGGTCCCATCTCACTTGCAGGCAGACTGGGTGGTGCAGCTGGGAAGCTGACCTAAATACACCCCTTATAACTCTCCCCCAGCACCACCTCCAAGTTTCCACAGACACACTATGCAGAGCCCGACTCTCACCTGCGGCCAGCACCCTCTCACCTGCGCCCACCCCTCCTCTCCAGCCCTGCTGTACAAATACAAGACTCATGGCCAAGCTGTGAGAACAGTAAATCTTTGCTCGTTCTTTTATTCATGTCCTCACTCTGCAGACAGTGCTGAGGAAAACAAACCCCACAAAAATCCCTGTGGGCCCCAGCAGTCTAGCATCCTTCTTCCTGCCCCCTGATTATCTCTAGAAGACAGAAGAGGTCCGTCAGGTTCCTAGGGGGGTACAGGTCCCTTCCTCCTCCTCCTCCTCCTCCTCCTCCTCCTCCTCCTCCTCATGGCCGGACTAACAGAAATGGGAAGAAGGAAAGCATTTGTGGTCTTTGTGCAGAAAGCTCATTCATCTGTCTTAGAAGGTCCTAAAGTCCTTGGGGTATCATGGAGTTATCTGGGGAGTGCCTGCATTAAGAGTCAGGTCAAAGGTCTCACTTATCCTCGCATACTTAGCATTGGGGCGCATGATCAGAAGAGGTTGGGAAATGGTTGGGGGAAAAAAGATGTACAGTCCTTTGCCTGGTTCCTTCTGGTTCCACAGAGTTAAGGTCTGAGGTCTGTCACGCCATAAGCAAGCTGATATCTTTGGATCTGCCTGAGGAATGGACTCAGTTTAAAGGTGATCCAGAGGAAATTGTAGGGCAAATAGCTAAAGAAGCAAAAGAGGTCTGAGTGACTGTGACAAGGGCAATTCTATGAAGACCACTTTGTTCAGATCGTTACATTGGCAAGGGGAGACCAAAATCTAGGGAGTCCAGGTCATTAGTTCCAGTCAGCACATTCCCGTGTGGTTAGAAGCCCAGATCTAACTCTGGCAGGAATATTGTTTCCTAGTGGCATGTGCAGCCGCTCCCTGAAAGGGACGGAGTTCAGAAGGCAAGCCCAGGGTGATGCTTCTGCCATACTGGAGCCCTACCCTGTTCTGGAGGAGGCACACTAATAAGGGAACTTTCTCTCCCTTCCCCTTTCTTTCTCCCCGCTCCCCCGCTCCCCTTACCCCTCACCATTCCTGTGGTCCTCTAGCTTAGTACACTCCAGCACCAAAAACCCACAGGTCTTCCCACCAAAACGATTCTCTGATGGGGTGCATCCCAAGCCAATACCTGTCTGAACCTCCTCCCCCTTTCCCAGCCTTGGAGTATGTGGGAAAACCCATCCTCAGCCCCCAGGGTTGGGAAGCTATCCCCTCTCTGCTTCCTCAGGAGCTGCCAGATGATGGGAAGATTTAAGACCCAGTTACAAGAGCCACTAACCACACTGAACCCTGGGCCACACAAAAGGGAGCAGAGACCTGAGAGTGGGGCCCAGTCAGCGCTGTTTGCTGTGTCTGACAGAGCAGCAGCCCTGGGCTGTTGAGACACTGGAGGAAGAAGATGGGAAGCCATGAAATAATGAGGAGGTCATAAGCACATGGCAGCAGAGGGCAGAGGGGAGGGAAATAACCGAAGGATGGGTGGCGGGGTGGGGGTCCTGCCTTCTGGCAACTCTGCTGCACCAGTGTTTTATTTCCACATTTGTTCCATTTCAGACAAGCCCAGCACTTCCAAAGAGAAAAGACAGGGAAGGGCCCACAAGCATCCCTAGGGAAGAGTGGAACTCCTCCACTGTTCCCAGCAACCACTCTAAAAAAGCAAGAGCCAAAGAGAGCACCACAGGAGAGAGATGCTCTGCATGGCATCCCTGAGGTCTCACAAACAGGAAGGAGTAGATTGGAGAACTCCTCCTTATCAAGGTGGCCAGGACCCACTATCTTGAGAAGTCTCCGGAGGCTCCAAAGTTCTGCCCAGGCAGGATGCTAGTCCCTGGGGAGGAGGGCACAGGTTTCCTGATTTATTCAACAATAAGCCCTTGGTGTTCCCTTAGCAATTACATCCTCCCCATTCAGCCTCGTGCCCGGCTCGTCACTAATAATTTACTGCAAATAAGTCAAAACGCTCCAAACAGGGAGTTGGCTTCTCTCCCTCTGAATTCCCTATGGAGCTCGGCACAGCTGGGCTCCCAGATGGGCCTCATTACTCCATCCCTGGACTTGAACCTTCCTTCCTTTCAGCCACCTCCACCCTGTCTAGCAAAGGGGGGCCCAAGAGAACAGAGCTGGCCCGGGCTGCTCACTTCTCTTTCTTTCCCAAGAACTGGACTAGCCGATGCTAACAAAGGGAGGTGGAAGCTTCTCAATCCACAGATGGGACCCGCAGCCTGGCAAAAGTCACCAGTTTCTGTCGATAAACAGGGTCTCGCTATCAGCAAATTCTGTCCAAAGCGTGTTCCTCAGGTTTTCTGTGCAAGATGGCCATTTTATAAGGTTTAAACCAGACCTTGAACTCGGGGACTCCAAAGGTCTCTGGCAGAAGCTTTTCACGTGTCTGTGGAGACCAGAGGCTGACCTCAGATATTCTCCTCAATCTTTCTTCAGCTTGTTTTTTAAACAAGGTCTCTCCCTGCACTTGGAGCCCACTGGTTAGGCCAGGCTGGTTTATCAGCTAGCCCCAGGAAGCCAGTCTCTACCTCCCAGCACAGCATGAGCCTCCTCACTCAGCTTTGAGTGTGGGTGGTAGAGATTAAACTAGGGTCCTCATGGTTGCATGCCAAGCATTTACCAACATCAGGTGTCTCAGAAATACCTGTAACTCCAGCTCCAAGGGATCCAATCAATGTCCTCTTCTGGTATCTGTAGGTGTGTGTCTAGGCCTGCCCAAAAATGATAACTGTAACCCCCAACCAGTAAATTCAAAGGTTACACACCCTCCCCCAATCATGTGATGCCAAGGCTTGTACCACCCTGCTTGCGGTTTTTCCCTTTAAAACCCCTCACCCTGAGAGCTCAGGACCGTCCTCCTCCACCCACTGTGTTGAATGTTAGACAGGGACCAAGCCTGGGCTTGCTTGTTATCAATAAATCCCTTTGTGTTTTGCATCGGATTTCGGCTCTCAGGTGGTCTTGCTCAGGGGTCTTACGATGCGGCCACAACAGTAAAAGGATCCAAATTTCACATCCTACTTCTCTAGTGCTTAGGAACTAGGCAGTCTTACAGGAGCCACAAAATCTGAGCTAGCCTGCTTCTCTGCAGAATCAGGTGGATAAAATAATATCTTTACCACGTGGATGCTGTGAGATCCCACACATCAGTAGGCTTTCTAAACTGCCAAGTACCGTTCACACGTCATTGATAATTGGAAGGCCATGGGGGCTATAATAATAATGATAAGCCTTTCCCTTTAACCAAATGTTTGTGGCTGTCATAGGAAATATGAAAATGATCATAGCTTGTGGATTTGCTTTTAACTCCTCCCTTTCCAGGGGGACCTGCTGCCCCCTCACTGGCTCCTTAGGGGAGGAGCCAGGTGGGAAATGCTGGGCTTAGACTGGATGCACTTTGCCACCCACCAGAGGTCTCTTCGCATTGCCAGTGTGAAAGTTGACTCTCAGCAGCGTTTTTCTACAGGTAATGAAGCCAAGAGTAAATTGAAGTTTAGTGTTTTCAGGGCACTGCATAAGAAACGAAGACAGGCCCTCCAGGAAGAATAATCACTTGGCTAAACCCTCAACAAACATGCTGATAGACTCACAAAGTTCTTGTTATTGCTCCATGCTAATTGCATTTCCTTGGGTAAGCACCATAAAAAATTCATTGAGGTTTTTGGAAACAGGATAGCCATTGCATTTTAATTGCTAGAGACCAGAGAGTAGGGGAGAGGCTTCCCTGGGAAGAAATCTCCCCAAGCTAAAAGGTTCAGCTACCCCCTAAAAAGAGCTAAGGGGGGAAAGCTGAACCCTATGGGGAGTCCAGCCTTCCCTAGAAGCACTGACTTCAGTGGTACTCAAAGTCTTAGAGCACCTGGACAGTTGGTCCTTTTTTTGCTGCAGATGGTGACCTACAGGTTTAACTAACTTAAATAATTTAATAACTAGGGACCTGCCAAATTCTGGAGTTGATGAGTTGGAGTCAGTATGTAACTTTCAAGAAGCACATATAGAAGGAAAGTTGTATTTCTCTTCAGTAATGTGTGTGACAGTGTGATGGCTAGTCTTCACTGCCAAGTGTGCCCGATTGGGAACTGCCTGGGAGACACAGCGCTAAACATGCCGGTGAGGGAGGAAGCTTCCAGACAGGAGTAACTGAGACCTGCCCTGAACGTGAGTGGCACTTCGCCACGGGCTGAGGTCCAAGACAAAACACAACGTCATCTCTCCCTGCTTCCAGACACTGAAGGACCAGCTGCCTCATACTCCTCAGCACAGTAGACTGCATCTTTTGTCTCGGAGCCAAATAAACTCCTCTGGTCATGTGTTCTGTCACAGCAGTGACAAAAGTAGCCAAACACAAAGAGGGGAGGGGGACTTGACCAAGATTATTACAATTTTCACTTAATAACAAATCTCTTTCAATCAATTCCCAGAACTGTCATTTGAAAAATGGCATCCTAGCCCAGCTCCATCTTTCTTGCGTTATAGACTCCTGCCTCATGCAGGGCTACTAGAGTTAGCTCAGAACAGGACCAGTGGGGTAAGGGGGAGGATCCTGACTTCCATGTCTTTACCTGACCTAGTCCAACCTTGACCTCATCTGCCCAGGAACCCTGGAGATAGGGTATTCTCTAGAGTTGGACTTAGCCCTCCAGAGGCTCCAGGAGAAAGCAGGGTTGGAGCATCTCCAGCATCCTCCCAATAGATGCACATGGAGTCCAGGGAGGGCAGAAGAAGTCTCCCAGATGCTTCCAGAAGCCTCTTCTGTGGCTTCTCTTACCCCTTCCTCTCCTCATCATTCCCAATCCAGCTCCAACCTCTTTCCTGCTATGGAGGCTCTCCAATGAGAAAGAGGAACTAGAAATCAGAGCCTTTGGAGAGAGGTCCAGTGACCCAGCTGCTGGGCCTCAGACTGGGTTGATCCATGGGAGATCCACAGTTCTGCATCCAAGGCTGCAGCTGCTTCTCCTGTAGCTAGCGGACCTGCCAGGGAGCCAAGAGACAAAGGCTTCTGTGTAATAAGGTTGAGGAAAACAAGAACATCTAGAGCAAGGAGTCCACATGGCTCTATCTCATGCCAGCCAGGTGACATTTTTACCTTGAGACAAGAGCTCATGTACCCCAGACTGGTCTTGAACTCTAGCCGAAGATGACATTAAGCTTCTAATCTTCCTGTCTCCATCTCCTAAGTGTTCAGATTATACATGTGCACCACAATGCCCGGTTTATGAAATGCTGGGGCTCAAACCCAGGACCTCTTGAATGCCAGTCAAGCCTTCTCCCAGCTGAGCTACATCCCCAGCCTCCCTCAAGAGACTTCACATTAGCACATCACATTCGGAAGGTAGACTTCTGTCTACCAAATGAACCTACACATATCTGCTGCTCTAGGTTTTTAAAATTTGATTTGAATGTGGATGCCTATCCCCTAAGCTCTAGAGCAGTGGTTCTCAACCTTCTTAATGCTGAGACCCTTTAATACGGTTCCTCGTGTTGTGGTGACCCCCAACCATAAAATTATTTTTGTTGCTACTTCTGTAATTTTGCTACTGTTGTGAATCATAATGTAAATATCCGAAATGCAAGATATCTGATATGGGACCCCAAAGGGGTTGCAACCCACCAGTTGAGAATTGCTGCTGTAGAGTGTGCCGAGGGCTCGTCACTCAGCCTTGGGGAAAGATGCTGTCCACTACCACGGCTTGTGAGAGACTACTTAACATAAATACCTGCTTTTTAAATCTTTTGGGTGGGGGGGGGCTGGGGGGTGAGTGCATATCTGGAAGTCAGAGGACCACCTCGGGTGTCAGTCTTCACCATCCACACAGTCTAATGTTAGCTGCTGACTACATCAGGTTCTGCCTCTCTTGCTGTAGGAGACAGATACATTCTGCATCCTCCTCTCTCTCTCTCTCTCTCTCTCTCTCTCTCTCTCTCTCTCTCTCTCTCTCTCTCTCACACACACACACACACACACACACACACACACACACACACACACACAGGAGTTTACATGAGTTCTGGAGATGTGGACTCCTTACACTCACATGACAAGCACTTTGCCAACATTGCCATCTGCCCAGCCAGACACTATGCTTTGACATGAACTGTCCCACTCAGTCCTCTCTCTAAACAGATTCACCCAAGGGTCATGCAAGAATTTAGCTGTCCAATGCTGAATTCTCTCTGGAGAGTGTGAACACAGCCACTAACTAGTAACTGCTTTCGAGGCCAGCGTGAACGATGCTGGAATAGATGATAGACCACACTGTGCTTACTCACCCCAAGCCAGCCACGCCACCACCGCCCGGCTAAGTTCTCCCTCTTTTAATGACCACCAAAGAGTATAAGACACAGCGAGGATGGTTATGACCAAAAAGTGTGGGCTTACTAAGGGTAGGAACTTGCCAAAGGTCACCCCCAAAAGGCAGATCTAGGTTACACTCAGTCTACCCTTTCCCAGCTAGTACTTAAGTTTCTAGAAACCCAGGGGGTTCCCGTCCTAAGTGTCCTTTCTTTCTTCTCCCAGTCTGGCAAACATTCTCTAGTCCCATTTTCAACCCTCAATGTCCTGGGGCAAGTCCTTCAGAAATGGGCTGCTCATCTGCCCCACACTCACCCGCACGGTGTCGTGGATCCAGTCCAGGAACTCTGCTACCTTGGCATAGACGCCTGGGTGATTGGGCTCTGCACAGCCACGACCCCAGCTGACCACCCCTACGAGGTGCCACATGTCACCACTGGGACACACTAGGGGTCCCCCGCTGTCCCCCTGAGGAATCCAGATATGAAGACACAAAGAAACAACAATCAAAACCCGTCTGGTGGAGCAGCAGCGGTCTACCATGGGGAATGGACTCTCCTGGTGGAGAGGGAGGCTCTTGCTTCCTGGTGTCATACCTGCTGGCCTCACCTTCCACAAACCCTTAGTATAAACTCCCTAGGGAGTCTGGCTTCCCCAGCCCATGTGCACTAAGCAGGGGACCAAGCCGATGCAAGTCCCCTGCTCCCACCTTCCACCCCTGGCGGGTCCCGGCTCCTCCCGCCACTACCAGCCACACCTGACACGCATCTGCCCTTCCGTCCAGGTAGCCGGCACACAGCATGCGGTGTGTGAGTGCCCCGCTGTACATGCATGAGCTGTTGCAGAGGTGGGTGCTGAGCAGGGGTACCACTGTGTCCTGCAGCGTGTCTGAGCTGTGGGCTGTAGGAGACACAGAGAAAAGCTGCAGGGTACCAAAGCGGGCCAAGAAGGCAGGGCATCAAGATAGAGAAGAGGTCCTGAGGACACAGACTCAAAGAAGGAAGTTTGGGCAGAGCTACGGACCTGGGTCAGAGGACAAGAGTCTGCCAGATGCCCAGCTGGGAACGAGGAGAGGAAGAGACAGACACAGTATACCAAATGCTGAGGTCATGGTGCTCCTGGGACCAAGAGCAGGGGAGTGAAAGGGCCTGGGTTGAGGGGAAATGTTCAGCGGTTGCTCTCCATAGGAATACTCAGGCAGGAAGAGACTGAATACCCATGAGTCACCAAGGGAGGAAAAGAGTGCCCTTGTCAGGTGACCAGAGGAAGGGGAAGGGGGACAGTTTAGAGAACACCTCTCCCTCCCCATTTTATACTCAGGGCCCTGGGAGCTCACTCACTGTGGCTGGGGTCGGTGTGGCCCCAGCCAGACACCCAGCACTGAGACCCTCTTGGAAAGTGTTGCTCCTTGGCTGGCAAGCACACAGCGCCCACAGTGTCTGTGGAGAGGCACATAGTTCTGGTCCTGGCTCAGGCTGGGCTTCTCTCCTGAAGAGCCTGAATGAAGACCCTTCTCATCCCCTTTTCAACAGCCCTGGGACCTGGCCTCTACCACCAAGATTACTAATAAATAGGTTGAGCAATGTCCCACCTTGGGGGTGAAGATATGGTGCCCCTAGAAGTGGGCAGTACATTTGCTGCCCTGCCCAACCTGGGGGCTAGCGGGAGAATGGAAATTCTTCTGGCACTGGATGCCAAATTCTAACGAGACCCATTTATCCTTTTCTCCAGAATGTCTGGTCCTTCTTGGGACTGTATTTCCAGACGTGTGTGACATATTCTATGAGTGGAACCAAATACGTATTTAAGTAGTACACTGACATTCCACAACATAGACACACTTCCCTCTAACTGTATCAAGGAGAAGGCCTCCAGTTGGTGCTGGTCCACACCCCTCATAGTGCTGTCAATCTCCCATCCAACCAGAAGAAGCAGGCCCAGGCTCTGCAACTTCTACAGAAGACTCTAGCAACCTAGAATTTTAGTACTGTTTTGTTTTCAAATTACAGATCTATGAATACATGAGTGTGTGCACATGGAACAGTAGTGCATGCATGCATGTATGTTTCTAAGGATTCATGTGCTTTTTGAGAAGGTGTGTGTGAGCATGCAAGGAGGTAGTTGGTGGGACAGCTTCAGTCCAGGCAGGTACCGCAGCAGGAGGAACCCTGGTCCTGGAATCAAAACATCTGCTTGGGACCTATTTTGCCCTTCTTTAAACTTCAGGGTTCTTGTCTGTATATACTTCCTTCATCATGGCTGTTAGGAGGGTTGAGAGGAAAAAAAGATTTCAATAAATAAGAAATCGCTTTCCCTATAATGTATCACAAAGTGCCTGAACCTGGGTCCAGCCTGGGAACAAGAGTGAAGCCAGCTATTGGTGGAGAAGGCTCAAGAGAAGTTCTGCTTGGGACCTGAAAGTAAATCCTATCTATACAGCCCCAGTATTAAAGGTCTTCAATCTTTGATCTCCAAAGAGCCTTGTAAGTGTTAGTGCAATTTAGTCTCAGAAGAATGCACACACCCTGTGATGCCACATGAACTGAAGGGCTTAATATTTGCCTAACCCTAACCCTAACCCTAACAACACTACAGGAAGCCTCGGGAATCAGCTCACCCCTCCTCCCGCAGGTCTCTGTTCCTTGGTCACCACTGCACCCAGCCTGCTCATCCCAAAGCCAGAGTCTCACCTGAGAAGTTGAGTGGAGTCCGGAGCTGCAGGAGGGCGACATCATAGTCATGGTTCTGGGCGCTGTACAAAGGGTGGGGAATGATCTTCTCCACCATAGTTCCCTGGTGTTGTCGGACAGCACTGTGGCTGACCAACCCTGCATGAACCCGCCAGCTGGACAGGCGGGACAGTCTGAAACTGCACACAGAAACCTACTGAGCCCAAGGAGGAAGAGGCAGGAAGATTAACATAAGTAAGGTGGTGGGTAGAGGGAACTCTTGAGGGAAACCTTTAGTGGGCACTGTCATAAACCTGTGAGCTCCAGGGACCCCAAAACCATGCCTCTTAATATTATCCCCAGCAGCTGGCAAGACACTGGGCTGGAAGATAGTTCAGTCAGCAAAGTGCTTTCTCTAGGCAAGCATGAGGATCTGAGTTCAGATCCTCAACACTCACATAAAAAGCCAGGCATCATGCAATATGTCTATAATCTAACAGGCAGAGACAGGAAGATCCTTGGAGCTTGCTGGCTTACCCACATACCCATACCCATACCCAGACACAGACACATAATTAAAATTAAAATAAATCTTAAAGTGTATAAGGTAGAAAGCAAGTGAGGAAATCACTTGACATTGATCTGTAGCCTCCACATGTCCATGCACATACGCACCCATGAGTACACAGAGAGAGAGAGAGAGAGAGAGAGAGAGAGAGAGAGAGAGAGAGAGAGAGATACTATTCATCTGCATCCACCACTTTCTCCTGTACAATTTCCATCCAAATTTTGTAGCAAGTGTGAAAGACCATTTACGACACCAAGACTTCCCTCAGTCCTCTCTCTCCACTTACGTGAAATTCTGAGGATCACTCATCCCTCCACTAGCCCGTTTCCTCACTGTAAAGTGGAGATCAGCTTGTCTGCCCTACCTACTGCCAAAATCTCACTCACTCATCATCCATCTACCTCCACCTCCACAGAACCGATATTGAGTGCCTATCATTCAAGAGACTACCGTAGCCCTGAAGATGTGGCGACAAAGAAAACTAGAAAGGGATTCAGTGGTAGATAAGACTGATCGTCTCTGCCCAGGGACAGCTTCCAGTCTAAAGGGGAGAAGGACGTTCAACATGTCCGCACACAGACAATGATTTAATGGCCGCGCTAAGAAACATCAAGAAGCACAGAATGCTATGGATGCAAAATGGAAGGGAACTGGGGAGATGGTTCAGTAAGAAAGGTGTTTGCTTTGGAAGCATGAGGACCTGAGTTCAAATCCCCAGAACCCATTTAAAAGCTGAGTGAGCATGGCATCCTGCTGGAAATCCCAGCACAGAAGATGGAGACAAATCCCCAGAGCATGGCAGCTAGCCAGACTAGCCAAATGTGCAAGTTCTGGGTTCAGTGAGAGATGAGAGATGCTACCTCAATATCGAGAGTAGGAGAGCATTTGAAGAAAATACCTGACATCACCCAATGTCAACCTCAGGCCTCCATGCCCACATACAAACATGCACACACACACACACACACACACACACACACACACACACACACACACACGTGCATATGCAAGGGAAGTTGCATACACACACAGAGAAAGGAGAATATAAAGAACCAGTATTTGTGTTATTACTGTTCTTCATGCAGAACTGAACTTGGCACCAAACAAGGACATCCCCCTTGCTTCCTTGGAGACAGACAGCTGGACACGGACATTTTATTCAGGACATACCAAGAGACAAACAGAAAAGGTGACTGTGACTCACCTCCCATCCACTCCCAAGACTTACCTGTACATGCAGTGGGCAGCAGTCACTACCCAGTGGGGTGCCAGCACAGAGCCCCCGCACGTGTGCCGGGAGCCAAGCATCACACTCACTTGCCACGGCCAGCGCCCAGAAGCCACAGCCTGACCGCCAACTATTCGAGAAGCCAGAGGCCTTGCCCCACACTCTGCCAACAGAAAAGGGTAGGCTAGAAAGAGACAGAGCTGGGTGCAGAGGGCCTGTGCCGACAGCTCTCACTTGTCATTCCTGATTCTAAGTAGGGGACAGGAAGCTGAGTGTATTGATGACCTCAGCCCGTGCACCTGCACGGGGACCAGGTCTGTGGGGTCTATGGAGCTCTACTGCCCACTCCACTGTACAAGTCAACGTGTCCAGTGTGATGGGTATGAAGAGGGACTAATAGATAGACAGGCAGGCACGGGATGGTGGGTGAAGGAACAATGTAAGCTGTTTATCATTTGACTCTAGTTCACTACCCACAGTCTCTTGAAGCTGCTGGGAGAGCATGTATATTTACAGCCAGTAGTAATTCCACCTACAGGGCCCTTCAGAAGGAAGGGCAGGGTGGCAGTAGTGAAGTAGAGAAACCATTAGCCCAGCACAGTGGCTGGTGGGACACATGACAGAGACTTAAAAGGACTCTTCTATCTGGGCAGGTCGTATCTGCAAGGAGCCCAGCAAAAAGATAGGCAGGTAGATAGCCAAGGACACTCCAACCCAGCTCACAGGCACACACATAGAAACCTGAGCAGGCCCCTTCATACAGCTCTTCCACACTCAGGAGAACTGGAAGACTCCCTTCCTCCCACTGCCAAGTTCCTGGACACAGGATATGACTCACCAGAACATTTGAGAGAAACAATTCGGCCAGAAGGACAGTGAGAGCTGCAAGACAGGAGTGTCCCTAAGAAGCTAGGCGGTGCCACCCAAAGGCCACGTACAACCAAGGGTGTGGAGAGTGGTCAGGGGGTTCTCCACAGTTTTGTTTGGTTTTCTTGAGATAGTGTGTCATGTGACCCAGGCTAGACCCAAATTCACTCTACAGCCAAGGACGACTGTGTACATGACCTTCTTGCAACAGCTTCCCGAGTACTAGGATTACAGGTATGCACTGCCATGCCCAGCCTGTCTCCATAGTTCTAAAGGTCATGCTGTAGTCCCAACCTTAAGATGCTACCATTTTTTACCATTTTCTTCCCACCCCTCACAAACACCCAGGCCCCTCCTATAACAGCAGCCTGCCCATTCTGCCCCAGCAACCAGAGGGAAACAGAAAGCCTTCACAGTCCTGGAAGATCTGTTTGGATAAGGTCCATATTTACAACAGAGAATTGACAGATGAGAATGCCCAGCTGTTTCCACATGCTCTGAGTAAACAGGTGCTCAGCGGGTAAATGAATGGCCACGGCATGAATGAGTGAATAGGGCCTTACACCCAAGCTTCTTCCAGGCCCAGCCTCTTCTCTGTCCCAGGCCCTTTAGCTAGGGCCTGCAGAGCCCTGCTCTATCTAGTTCTTGTGTCCCCTCTTCCCCCTTAGCATAGCCTCAACTCCCTTTAGACCCAACATTCTTGTCTCTCCCTTCCCATCTCTTCCTTTCAGCAGCCCAATCCCTGGTCTACTTGGTTTCTATTTTCCTAACCCTGTAGCCCTTCTACCCTCCTGGAGGACCTGGGAATCTCACCGAGGGAAAGGGACAGCTGGGGTCACTCTATCTGTAATGCATTCCTGAGAATGGATCTGGAGCTTGGAAGAATGGTTCAGATGAGTAGGCCAAGATGGCTTCAGAGCAGGGATGAGGCCTCTGCCTGCATCTAACCCCGTGGCTTCGGGCAGTTTGAAGGACCCCAGGCTGGGCAACAACCTCTCAGCTTGTGCTGTCTAGAGTATGGTGAGAGTTTGGGTCCATTTTGAGTCCCTTTCTTTTGGACACTATTGGGTTTTCTCCTGAGATACCAGAATTATCCAAGCAAAGCTCAGCCACACGGGTCCCTTGACTTGGAGGCATGAGTCTAGCCCCCAAATGTGTGTTGGCTGTTTATTGGTCACATTGCCCTGGATCAGACTGTTTAACCTCACTGAGCCTCAGTCTCTCTACCTGTAAAAGTGAATTATGGTTTGAACACAAAATAACCCCCCAAAAACTCATAGGCAGGGTACCTGGTCCTCATCCCATGGTACCATTCACCTAACCCACAGAGCCCTACCTGGGCCGCCACGCCTCCTCTAGGAGGCCTCCCAGTCTAGCAGACAGCTGAGCAAACTCCTGGTATCTGGCGAGCTTGATGTCAGACAGATTCACTGCCTTGTGCTGAGTGAGCCTTGGCAGAGGAAGAGAAAACGGGGGAGCCACTTTCAAACTGTAGCGTGAATGAGGTCACGTGGTCAGAACTACACTGTGCACGAGCTGTGCCAGCACTGTGAATGAGCAGGACCAGGATGGTGACCTCTGCGATCCCCACTCCCCACTCCAGTCCCCCCACCAAGCCATCCAGCCCTGCAAGTCTGGCTGCTACCTGAGGTGCCCGAGACTCTGGCAAATGTGCATGCCCAGGGCGGGGGTCCAGCCCTCATGGCACACCAGGAGCCAGTTTGGCCGAGCCTTTACTTGCACTTCAAGCAGGAGATCCTCGCCATTTATTCTGAAAGATACTGAAACCACAGTGTGAAAACTTTCCTGCTGCCAGGGCGGGGTGAGACAAGAGGAGCTGGGCACACGGATCACGCCGGCTCAGTTTCCCCTCTCCCCTGGGTGTCTGGTCAGCACAAAACACAGTATAACACATTTTATAGGTGTTTTCAGTTCCGTGTTTTGACTGCGTGCTTTAGAAGGTGCTCTGAGGCCAGTGAGATTACTCAGCAGGTAAAGGCACTTGTCATCAAGCTTGACAACCTGGGCTGAATCCCCAGAACCCACATGATAGAAAGAGAACCAACAAATTGTCCTCTGACCGCCACATTCCTTCAGTGGCATGTGCACACACATGTGAACTATATAAATAGGAGTATTCTGTCACACTCTTTATCACAATTGCCCAACACTATGAGAAGGCAGTTAGTTACCACCCTCAGCAGAGGGAGTACCAAGGCACAAAGGTGAATTCAATTTGCCCAAGATCATAGGGTCAACAAGGGATGGATCCAGGACATAAACCAAGTCTCCTGAATTTAAATATTGTGACGGTGATAGTTAATATTTATCAACTGCTTTTTTTGTCTATGTTGTTACCGATGGAATTTTTCACATACACATTCTCTCTCTCTCTCTCTCTCTCTCTCTCTCTCTCTCTCTCTCTCTCTCTCTCCTAGATTGAAACTCGAATTCCTCGATGTAAGCATGTTTGGAGATAGAACCTTGAAGAAGGTGATTAAGATTAAACAAAGGACTTGTTCTACAGTTTGCTTGATATAGGGCTTGCCTAGCATGCACATAGCCCTGGGTTTGAGGTCTAGTGCTGTATAAACTGGGGGCGGGGGGTGAAGGGGGTGGAACCTGCCTGTAATCCCTACACTCTGGAGGTGAAGGCAGGAGGAGGCCATGCTCAAGCCCTCTTTGGTTAGAGGCCAGCTTGGAGACATTAGATACTTAACTCAAAAAAAAAAAAAATTAAAAAGATGACATGAGCTCATGGGGTGCTGGTCCAGTAGGGTCAGCATCCTCATAGAAGATGGCGGCTCATTCTTTCTTTCCTTCCCCCACCTCCCAGCAAACAGAAGACAGTGGGAGGATACTGTGGGGAGCCAGGAAGAGAGCCTCTTTGTAACTGGACCTCTAGCATCCAGACTGTGAGAAAATAAACGTGTGCCCCTCCCCCACCTGTAACGCTGTGTTCTGGCAGGCCAGCCGACTAACACAGAGGTTCAGAGCTAAGCTTCTTTTATATATTTGCACACTTTATTACAACCTCATGCAGCAAATACTTTTATTCCATTTCCATTGTATATTGAAAGAAATGGAAGCTCAAAGAAATCATGCACTGAAGGCCATGCATCTAGCAAAAATAAGAAAACCCAGCCTTGATCTAACTAACTTCTCGAACTTTTTCTAACCCCTCAGTCTTTGGGCAGCATTATACTGTGTGACCCCCAGCTCTTACCCAAGAGAAGGGATAGTGGGGACAGCCAAAGGACAATATGGAATGATGTCCCCAGATGTCCAGATGTCCCTATTGTTCACATACTAGCACCCTATACTAGCTCCCTTTCCCCTACACTACTAACTCACACTACCCTAAATGACAAGCTTCCATCTCTTCTACTGGCCTGACCCCCTAGTCACACCCCAGCTAAAGGTCAGGACACCCCTCAGGGATGCATACAAATCCTGAATCCAAGATTAATGATGCCAGATGGACCTTGTCACCACCCTTATCCGGGTAGAAGAGACAGATGGGTGGTAACAAGCTGCTAGTCCTTCATTTTGGTTCAGAAGCTATAAAGGGTCCTGAGCTGGGTAAAGGGCTCTTTCCTGTATATTTGACAGGGTGGCCCACCTGTTTTGGGAAGAGATGGGAGAAGCTCTTCCTCACTGCTGATTCCTGGACAGTTCAGAGTCATCTCCTCCTCCTGCAAGGTCCCGGAGACAGGTGGAGAGGCAGCCGGCCATAGATACAGTACTTCAGGGAAGCACAGAGAGTCACAGAAATGTTGGGGATGGGGAGGAAAACCCCCAGAGGGGTTCAAGGTGCCTAGCCAGCCAGTACTGCAGTCGGGGTAGGCCTGCCTCCTAGAGAGTCCCTATCAGTCACATTGCCTATAGATAGACCCCCAATCAATCTGTAAGGGGGCACAGGACTGTGTCGGACTATCCTGTGTTTCTGTTTGTCTGTTTGTCTCTGTCTCACTAGGAACAATTTCTAGGGGGAAAAAAACTGACTAAAACCATGGATCATCCACACAGTGACAGGACTGTAGGACCAAGCTGTTCCCTCTGACCCCTAAATCCCTCCTGTTTGGGGTAAGCCCTTCCCTGTCTTGCTGTTCACACAGCACAGATGAGGGTGGGGCTTGTTCATCTCTATATAGTGCCTGTTCAGCACCCGCGTTAGTCTCCTAGCTTCCCCCAGATCCTGTCCTCCCCTCTCCAGACAAAAGGGCCCAGCACTGACCTAGGAGCCATGAGCCGACACCTGCTCCAGCCAGCAGCCCCAGGGCTCCCAGTACCGCACAGCCACGTTGCAGACAGAACCAGCGCTGGGACTCAGAGGCTATGACAAGAACAGAGAGTTGCCTGGGTTTCCTGTTTCTGCTAGCAAGCTTTACACAACCTTGAGGGACCAGTACGTTCTAACAGGAGCCTGGCCCTGCCTCATGGGCTCAAAGGGGTAGAGGCAGGTTCTGATCCCTGAAGCCCAGCTCCCACTTGGTCCTGAAGTGGGGAACAGAGCAAGTAGGGGGTAAGAACGAGATGCCCCTCATCCTCACATTGACCCAAGAAGAGCAGAAGGGGTAGAGAAAGATCATCCTTTGCTCACCCCATCCTGTCCCTCCCTAATGGCCCAGTGTGACCTACTGGGTTGTCGCTGGTCTCCCAACTCTGTTCTGAGTATCCCAGGTCCAAGATCCTCTTCTGTGCACCGAAACTCCATTGGGCCTTGGTCATCCAGTGTTGGACTCTGAAGAAATAGTTGTTGGAAATCCAGCATCCCTACCTACACCATGGCTGCCAAAAGAAGGCCCAGCCCTCACCAAGTTCTAGTTTCTAATCTCAGTCCTGCCCCTGAGGCTAACTGTGAGTCTCTATTTACCTCGGAGAATCCTATCCAAGCTTTTTCTGCTCTCCTGGAGCCCCTGACCCTACTGACGTCACTCTCACATGACCGCAACAGCAAAGGAAAACTGGAATCCAGACTTGCTCCACTCCAAAGCCCATGTTGTTCATCAATGGTGCCCTATTCATGCCCCCCATGAGCATCAAAAGGGCACCCCCTGAGGTCTGTCAACATCCCACTCTAGGCACTTTCATCCCTTTTCCTCTCGGAAAAAAGAGAACACACACACACACACACACACACACACACACCATTCATTCCCCCCAAAGTATTTGGCCTAAGTGCGTAAGACACCAGAGGAGACACTATAAGGAATTCAGGATAGATCAGCATGAACTGGAATTCCTCAAATCCTAAATCTTGTCCCAAAGACAAGTCATAGCACATGTCAAATGACCACAGAGAGTTTGACTAAAGCACCAACAATATTCAAAAAAATTAAGAGATGATTTCTCACCAACAAGATCAATGAAGGCTTCTAGGGGGCGGGGAGGGGGCAGTCTCTAAGGCAGTGTCCTCCTGGGTGAGTAGGACTGAAGCTGGTGTGTTTCTATTAGGTATTGTGTGGTCCAGGCAAAGGATGCTGAGGAAGCAAAGACAGGGTGGTAAGAAAGCAGAGAGCAGAGTAACTCGAGTGTGTACCAGAAGCTCTTGACCATGAAGAGCGATGAAATAAGGTAATTGACAAGCACCGAACAGTTCATAACTAAGTCCACAGCCTACCCTGTGAACTTGGATAACTCAGATCATCACTCCAAATCCCTCCCCTAGTGCCCTCTAGCTGCAGCTGGTAAGGGGCAGGGCAAGCCCAAACCACAGGAAGGGCTTACTTAGGTCACTGACCTGGCCATTATTCTCCTTGTTACCAAGCCAGAGCAATCTTTCTAAGATGCAGTTGGGAGCATGGTGGTCCAGTCTTTAAAGTGCCCCATAATCTTTGCGGCCTCGGCATCAGGGTAAGCCTTCACTCCATAGCTCCTAGGCTTTTATGATCTCGCCTTCCCTCATCTCTCCATCCCACCAGAGGCGGGCCATACTTTCCCAGGAGAAACATAGCTCACGGTGTGTGTCCTAATACACATACTCCATCTGTGCTCAGAGATGAGAGCCAAGGACAGTAGGCTTGGGAAAACCAAAGCAGAAGTAGAGGAGTGGCCATAGGCATGTGTGGTTCTTCTCTGGGGATGTAGTTCCTCTTGAGCGGATACTCCCTCCAGTCAGAAAGCCAGGGCCCATTTTAGAAAGAATTCCAAGGTGTGTCCAGCCTTTCCTCTTGTCTCAGTATCCCAGAAGCTACGCTTCAAGGCCAGCCTCTGAACAGATCACCTTACTCAGACACAGACCTACCTCAAAATGCACCTGCCCAAACTCACAGGGTAGCCTAAAAACACAGGCCTTCATTGGGAAGAAACAGCTTTGGTGTGCTAAGTAGGAGGCGATTTAATGCTTTGCTCAGAATAGCCAAGGGCAAACTGCATCATCAGCCCAGAGTAGGGACCACAAGAGAAGAAAATGAAAGGCAGTCTCTGGAGAGATTGCTAGCTCCACAGCCCCTGCTAGGATGCAATCACTGTACCAGAGCTGCCAGAGGAGGCTCTTCTATCAGCCTAGCATCCCAAGGAGGAGGGTGTGTGAGCAGGGATGGAGGGATGGCATGGGGCACAACCTTACCGTGTGACTCAGTTGCATTGATGTAAAGCTGTAAGGTCTGCTGGGCAGGGCGCGGCGCCTGTCCTCATGTCTGGATTGAGTCAACACCCCAGCCAGCATGGTTGGAGGATGATGTCTCCCTGGTTCACACATAGCCCCTCCCCTTGTCTCCCACCCCTACACACATAGACACGCGCCAGAGAGACAATGAACTATGCTCAGGTCTCCTGAATAGGCCCCTTGTTGTAGGGAATTGGGGCCAAGGCTGGGCTGGGCCTGGCAGCCCCAGTCCCTCCTGTCTGCTAACTGGAAGCTTGGAAACAGAAAAACGGAGTGGGGGGGGGGGGGGTGGGCAGCAGGACTACTGTTGCTTAGCAATCAGGTCCCTTGTGCCAAAAAATGTGCCTCATACATGCTAGCACAATTCCCCCTTCTTGCTGACAGGGCTGCACTAGACAGAGTGATATTAGCACTTGTGGAAATGTTTCTGAGCTCTGGTGGAAGCTGGCCTTCCCAGCAGTCTCAGGCTGTCACCATGCTGGGGCTAATAGGTGACGGTGAGGAATCTTTGTCACCCCTCTCTCAGCCATGGCTGTGCCTCTCACCTGATTGCTAAGAAGTGAGGCCTCCCCACCCTGTTTGCCCCTGGGATCCAGGAGTGGGCCCTTGGAGCTTTCTTGCTTCCCCGGGATCCAGGAGAGGTCCCTTAGTGCTATCTTGCCTCAAAGTTCAAGGTAACATAGATGATCCCAGGCTGGGACTGGACACACCTGGGAGCCACGGCTCTTTAAAGAAGTCCCAGGGTAGGGAGCACTGGAGGACAGTGAGTAATCTTCCAGTCTGCCTCTCAGGGATTCCCTCAGACCAGAAGGAAAGCTCGGGGAGTTAAAGAAACCAGGGTTCAGGGAAAAGACAGTACACCTCACAACAAAGGCTGAAGCTGGCAGACTTGGAAAAGAACAGAGCATTGATATTCCTGAACCTTCGCTGTGGTATACATGTGTACCCTAATAAAATTTACCTGAAGACCAGAGAATAGAACATTGATATTCCTGAACCTTGGCTGGGTGATATATTGTGTACCCTAATAAAATTTACCTGAAGACCAGAGAACAGAAGAAGCCACTAGATCAAACATAAATGCCAGGCAGTGGTGGCACACACCTTTAATCCTAGCACTCAGGAGGCAGAGATCGGTCTGGATCTCTGTGAGTTCAAAGCCACTACATGAGATTGACTCAGTCTAGGAGAAAAACAGAGCCAGGCTGTGGTGGCACACACCTTTAATCCCAATACTTGGGAGTCACATGCCTTTAATCCCAGCCCTAGGAAAGTTGAGACAGGAAATGATATGGGTTGGGCGGAGAAAGGTATATAAGGCATGAGGAGACAGGAACTAAAAAGTCTTTCGGCTGAGGAAAGCTGTTCAGGCTGAGGAGTCTTAGAGGTAAGAGGTGGCTTGTTCCTTTGTCTCTCTGATCTTTCAGCATTCACCTCAATATCAGACTCTGGGTTGGTTTGTTTTTTTGTTTTGTTTTTTTTTTTTTTTTGTTGTTGTTGTTGTTGTTTTTAAAAAAAAAAAAAAGACCATTTAGCAATTCAAGTTACACTTGGCTGGTTGAGGCTTTTGTTGAAATAGACATGAAGACTTCATTCTGCCCAGGGAGATTATGGGCCTGTGTTCCATTTCCTTGGGCCAGTCAAGGAAGTAAATTAACTGTATTGTATTACTTTTGCTTTTAACTTTACAGCAAGTTAAATGCTGTTTCATGTGTCTCAAAGCTTGCAATGAATATTGGAGATAGGAGATAGCTAACTATCTTTCTTTTTAAGATTTGTGCACTCATATGTGTCTGTGTAAGCGAATGCTTCATGTATGCGGGTGCCATCAGAGGCCAGAAGGAGGGCATTAGATCCTCTGGAGGTGGTTGTGAGGCCCACAGTGTGGGTGCTGGGAACTGAACTGCGGTCCTCTGTGAGAGCAGCAAGCACTCTTAACTGCCGAGTCATCTCTCCAGCCCTAACCGTACTCTTACCTGTGTTTTCCTTTACATTTTGCTAACTTGGGGTCAGAAAGGCTCCACTGATCGTATTTGCTGTCATCAGCTTATGCTCTAGCTTTGTGGCCATCCTAGCGCCCCAGCTGCTCTTCTGGTTCTCCTTATTCTTGGCTTTTTAAGGGATGTAGTTCTGGATGACTTGCCACTCTTTACGTAGACCAACCTAGTCTTGAACTCATGGAGCTCCTCCTGCCTCAGCCTCCTGAGTGCTGAAATTAAAGGCGCGCACCACCACATCTGGCCTGGGTGGTAGAGCAGAGACGAGCCGTTTGAGTATCACTTCCTGAAATCCCATCACTGAAAATCGTGAGCTGCCTGTTTGAGACTCTCCCAACTCCCGAACTCTTGCCCACCCCACCATTATTACTGCTGAGCTTCTCCTGTGCCAGCCATGCTGTCCCTTTTCACTTCTTTTCCTCATACATTTAGTGAACCCATACACAATGGCGAAGAGACAGAGATCCTCCGTGATGTACAGACACAGAGGACAGAACTGGTGGCCAGAGATGAGACTCCCTGGCTGGTCACTGAAGGCTCCTAGAGCAGCACTCTTCAGCCCACAAGCTTGACCACCTACCGTGTGTCATGAATGAGCCTGGGTAGGGGAGTTAAATAAGTCACAGGCTTGGAGTCCACAGGCTAGGCTAGGAACCGATAGAAATAACGGTTACTTGTGAAAAGGAAAATTACAATGACATGAACATAGAAGTATAGATGAATGGGGGAATAGTTGATTCTTTGCCCGGGGAACCCAGAGAGGTCTTCTCAGAGGAGGGGACATTTGGACTGAGTTTTGAGGGGGGAAAAATGGCAACAACAGAAAAGGGCATTTTGAATAGTCCCGAGTGATGTCTGTGAAACTGAAAGAGAAAATTCTCTCCTCCATAAATGCAGTAAGACAACTAGGGTGGGGGGAGTTAGAATCAAGTCTTCCAAAGTCCTGGAAATTACTCAGAAATTTATAGCAATCTGGAAAGTGTTATTCGAAAGATGAAATATACGGTGAGCATTGTGCATTTTAACTGGCTGGAATCCCATATCCCTCACTCTAGCTCCATAGTAGCCTTGAGAACCATTATCCCATAACAACAATGGAGACAGCAGCCGGGCAGCCACAAGAAGGGAGAACACAGGCTTGTAGCCCTGAACAACCTTCTCAGAGAGCTGTCCTTATTTGACCTGTCTGGTGGGTCCCTGATAGATCTCATTTGCAACAATGCCTTCCTCTGATCTAACTTGGGGCTTTACCTGTTCCAATCTCTTTTTTTTTTTTTTTTTTTTTTTTTTTTTTTTTACTTAAAGGCCAGGGGAATGGGGGTTGGGAGGGTGCAATTGTTAGACCTTATGGTTGTCTGAGGTAGTAGGCAATAGTTTGTCACAATAAACTATATTAGAACCCTTAAAGAAGAGTCTGGGGTATGAGATGCTGCTAAGAGACCGAAGAGCTCTAATGTACTCCTGGACTCCAGAAAGCCACGTACTGCTGAGACCTGTGCACGTGTCCAGAAAAGGTTGACATAAGGAAACTCCTGCCCTCTTACCTCTGGTGACACCCGAGACTCTGCACAAGCAGGAAGGCTTAGCGGAGCCCCTCTGCAAAGACCGGGAGACTTCCTGGTAACACGAACGCAAGGAAGTCTCTGTCCAATCATTAGCACAACACTAAACAGAGACTGCAGTGGTCATGTGACAAAGAATACAGCCTTATAAAACTGGATCTGTAAAGTCACTCGTCAAACAAGCAACACCAAGAACAAGCTCTAAGGACAGGGAAGACTCTGACTCTCAGAGTTCCTGTGCTGTATCATTTGAAATTCAGTTTTCTTTTGTTTTGTTTTTTATAATTTATTTTTATTTTATGTGCATTGGTGTTTTGCCTGCATGTATGTCTGTGTGAGGGTGTCAGGTCCCCTAGAACTGGAGTTACAGACAGTTGTGAGCTGCCATGTGGGTGCTGGGAATTGAACCCCGGTCCTCTGGAAGAGCAGTCAGTGCTCCTAACCGCTGAGCCATCTCTCCAGCCCTGAAATCCAGTTTTTGAGGCTAATGTAGTGGTTTGAACAAAAATGGCCCCCATAGCCTCACAGGGAGTGGCATTATTTGAAAGGATTAGGACATGTGGCCTTTTTGGAGTGGATGTGGCCTTGTTAGAGGAAGTGTGTCATGGGGGTGGGGTGGGCTTTGAGGTTTCAGAAGCTGAAGGCAGGCCCACTGTCTGTCTCTTCCTGCTGCCTGCTGATCTGGATTTAGAGCTCTGGCACCATGTCTGCCTGCATGCCACCATGACAGCAGACTAAACCTCTGAACCTGTAAGCCAGTCCCAGTTAAATGTTTTCCTTTATAAGAGTTGCCATAGTGTTAAAATATTAAAAACAGAAACAAAGAGTTGCCATGGTCATGGTGTCTCTTCAAGCAACTAAAAACCCTAAGACAGCTGGAGAGATGGCTAACTGGTTAAGAGCATGTGATGCTCTTCCAGAGGACCCGAGTTTGGTTCACACATGTCAGGCAGCTCACAACCACCCATAATTCCATCTCCAATGGATCCAACACCCTCTTCTAGCCTCTGCAGACCCGCACACAGACACATAAAATTAAATACAGTTTCCAACAACAAATTATGAGTCCCTTGAAGAAATTAGAAAAGAAGGCACATATATAGATGTGGGGGAGGGGACTCAATCACTAGAAACTGTCTCTGACAAACTCAGACATTAGAAAACCCAGGGGATTCTGCGAAAGGGTCTGCTCCCTTTCTGATGTGACCTGCATGGTCCCCAAGTAAGGCATATAAGAAGCCTCTCTAGCATCAAGTATCTGGATAAAGGGTAATAGTGTTTATTGGAAGCATTAAAAGAACTCCTGGTCTGTTGCACACATAAGCACACACTGGCTGTGACTGCATACACAAGATCTGCATAAGATCAAGCCAGCCAAAATCCCAGCACAGACAAGGAGAGGGGTTCATAAAGAGCCACCCCCTAGCTAGGAAGGTATTGGCAGTTGATGGCTACTGCAGAAAGAAGAGTAAGTTTTCTTCAGGAATCCAGCCCCTGAAAGTCTATCCATGTTTCAGTAGATGGTCCTATACCCATG